TTTCCTATCTGGCCCACTTCCCATCCATAATTCCATAAATACTTGTTTATTCTTCATCTGAGTCGCTTTCTCCAACTACTCTATTCTTGGAGTCCTTCCTCCTAGCCTACATAGTTCTCTCTCCACCTAACATAACCCATGGTGGCCGCCTTCTTCCTCCTCTTCCTGTCTGTCTCCTTCCCAAGATCCTCTCTGTCCTCCAAGCTGAGAACCTTAGCTTCTCCCACTTTACCTCTGTCCTGCCCAGGTGTTGGCTTTTTATTGGTCAAATAGGAATAATTTTTTAGGCAATGTTTACATAAGGTCAGGTGTGAAAATGTGCTCATCCAGGCAGAGACCAGATTTTTTGGGGCCCATAATTAGCATTAAAATACATTGCAACAAGGGGCTGTAGAGATGGCTCAGTGGTTAAGAGCACTGGCTGCTTTTCCAGAAGACCCGTGTTCAACTCCCATCACCCACATGGCTGCTCACAGCAGCCTGTAACTCCAGTTCTTGGTGACCAACGCCCTCACATACATGCAGGCAAAACAACAAAGCACATAAAATAACAATGAATTTTGGGCTGGAGAGATGGCTCAGAGGTTAAGAGCACTGGCTGCTCTTTCAGAGATCCTGGGTTCAATTCCCAGCCAACACATGGTGGCTCACAACCATCCATAATGAGATCTGGTGCCCTCTTCTGGTGTGCAGGCAACATGCAGAACACTGCATATGCAATAAATAAATAAATAAATAAATAAATAAATAAATAAATAAATAAATAAATAAATAAATAAATCTTAAAAAAAAATACATAGCACCAGACCAACCCCCAAAACCTACTACTCTAGAAGCATCCTAAAATATACACACATATGAAAGAAATTTAAATGGAGTCACCATGGAGGAGGTAATGTATCAACTAGATATCTTAAGCCACCAAGTTAAAACCTCCAGTGCCAGGGTGAGTTAAATATTGTTGAGTTGTTGAGCAAAGGGTCCCCTAGGCCCTCTCACAAACATTACAGGCTATTATCAAGGCTACTGGTCACCCTTCACAACCTGTTGGTAAGGCCCTAGTGCTGAAGACATTTATTTATGTCACTGAACATAGAGAAATCGAGCTGATGGCCAAATAGAAGCTTTACCACTACTGACTAACATTCATGTTGCTGGGAGGTACTCTGCATTCTTCCAGAGGAGAAAAGTAATTATCAACATCACCTAACTACAAACCCCGGAACAGCAACTACCTGCAAGGTAGGCTGGTGCAGAGTGGCACAAATATGGGAGTGAGCAACTGTTCTGTAATTGAGTTGATGGCCCACTCGATGAGATGGAACTCATACCTGACACTGATGAAGTGGCTAAGAACCTGGGACTAGATAGGTCATGGGCCTTAGGGGCAAACCTACTCCTACTCTTCTGCTAAAGGAATACAATAACAAAATAACTTCTGACGACGAAAGCTATGCTTACAGATCAGTCCAGCCCTCATTAGAGAAGCTGCTTCTTATAGTAGATGGGAATTAACAAACTGGACAATGTGCAAAGTAAGAAAAATTTGAGCTCTCATTCCCTAATGGCTCAAAGAAAAAAAGAAAAGAGTTTGTAAGAGCTCAAGGTGGCAGATGACTTTAAGGAAATAATTTCTTCCAGACACAACAGAGCTGGTAACACATTTGGAGTTAAAGATTGTGACCTACACAACTGCAAATCAGACAAAAATCTCATGAAAGAGAAGGGGACATCAAGAAGCTATTTGCAGTTGTTACCTGCTGTGAAAGGGAGGCTCAGTTTTCTCTAATGCAGTGATACTGAAGGGCAGGCCCCGGGTCCAGGAGTAGTTGGGCAACATAAAAGGTCTTTATATTGTTTTAGGTTCTTTTATATTTTTTTGTCATATATTTGGTCTTATTTTTTGTTTTGATTGTCATTTTATTTTTTTCTTTTTGAGAGCAAGAGAAAGAACATGGAGTTGGACAGGTAGGAAGGAAGGATCTGGGAGCAGTTGGGGGAGGTGAAAGTATGATCAAAGTACAGTATATAAAAACTGAAATACAAAATTAAAAGAGAACATTATGAATAAAATTTTATGCCTACAAATTAATTGACCTAGATGAATGGAGCAGTTTGTTGAAAGTCAGTCTTCTAAGACTCAGTCAAGAAGAAGGACAAAGCTGAGCACAATGGTACAGGATGCAATTAGTCTCTCAGGAAGCTAAGTCCAGATTGCTTGAGCCCAGAGTTCAGGTCAGTGGGCAAAACAATGAGACATTTTCTCTTAACAGAAAAGAAAAATAAAATCAGAATAGGCACATATCTATTGAACAAATTGAATTCTGGTAAGCTCTACCAAAGACCTAAGGAACAAATTATACTAATTCTATACAATCTCTTTCAGAGGACAAAAACAGAGGAAATGCTTATAAAACTCATTCTATGAGGTCAGCATTATTTTAACACACAAACCAAAGATATAACAATAAAAGAAAATTGTAGGCAAAAATATCTCATGGACATGGACATAAAAATCTTCAATAAAACATTAGAAAATCTTATCTAATACTGTATATAAAGGATTGTACAACACAAACAGAATTTATCCCAAGTATGGAAGACATGTAAAAGCATAAGCTAGGCATGGTGGCTCACACCTATATCCCAGTACTCAGGAGACCGAGGCAAGAGGACAGGCCAGCCCGGGATACATACTGAGCTGCAGGCCAGCCTGGGCTATATAGGATTTGTCTCAAAAAAGAAAACAAAACAACAAATAAACCAAAAACCTACTCAATCATCCTATTTACAGGCTAAATTAAAAAACACATCAACATATTCAGAAATACAACACTCATTCACAATAAAACAAAATAAAAATAGAGAATTTCTTTAACTTGTTAAATAACTTTTATAAAACTCCTACACAGTTGGCATATTTAGTGGCGAAAAACTAAGAAAATTCCCATTAAGATGAAGAACAGAGCAAAAATATCCCTTCTCATCATTTCAACATCATAATGGGAGTTTTAGATAATTTAATATGATGTGAAGATAAAATAAAAGTATACATATTAGGAAATAAAAAAAACCTTTTCTTGGATCACAAATGATTATCTACATATAGAATATGAAAAAATTGATTTAAAAAAAGCAAGCAAACAAAAACAACCTAGAACTAAAAAAGTAATTAAAAAAAGGCTGCAGAATAGAAGGTTAATATCTAAAAGTCAATCACTTTGCTCTGTATTAACAATGTTTTAATGAAAACACAGTATCATTTACAATAGCACCAACAGGAAAAATACTTAGGTATAAACCTTATAAAATATACATGAGATTTTATTAGTAAAATTATGTTATTCTGAAAAAAAAATCAAAGTACCAAATTAACAGAAAGCTTAAGACAACTCACTGTTAAATTAGTCTAGGCCAGGTACGGTGGCACAACGCCTGTAATCCCAGCACTCAGGGAGGCAAAGGCAGGCAGATAACTGTGAATTTGAGGCCAGCCAGGTCTACAAAGTGAGTCCATGATAGCCAAGGATCCACAGAGAAATCCTCTTTTGAAAAACCCAAAACCCATGCCCCCTAGAGATTCTATATAATAGCAATCATAACCCCAGAAAGTGGGGCCAAAGAAATGACTCTGTAGTTCTCTTGCAAGAGACCAGGGATTTGGTTCCCAGTACCCAGACTGGATGGCTCACAGCTGCCTGTAACTCCAGTTCCCAAGTATCCAATGCCTTCTTCTGGTCTCCAGAGGCACCTGCACACATGTGGTATATATATATATATATATATATATATATATATATATATATGCAAGTCCCAGAGGGTGTGTTTATGTAGCAACAAATAGAAATTGAGTTTTGCATAGAGAGGTGAAAGACCCCGACTAATCAATACAGTATTAAAGGTGAAGAACAAAGTTGGGAGCCTGAAACTTCATGGCCTCAAAACTTAGTACATAGCCCCTGCAACCATGGCAGTGTAATACTGGCAAGTGGCTAGACAAACAGAACATGATACTATAGAGCCCAGAAACAAAGTCACAGGAGGTCAGTCACCTTGCTTTTGACAAGGGCATAAAGGCAGATTCCTCAATAAACTATGTTGGAACAACTGAACATTCATGTCAACCCTTCCCCAACCAAAAGTCAAACAATAACCAAACACCTAGATATGAAACTTTTACATGCTACAGGAAAACCCTGAATTTTGAAGCTATGTGGAAAGAAAACTATGGCTGATTATAATTTTAGGTTTTGTGCTGAGGTATGTTTAACTCATTCTTGAGAAAGATCCCTCTAACAGCTATGGACAGCATTCTAAGTTCTTAGACTACCACGAGGAAGATAGGGTAACTAAAGAGTAAGCTACACACAAATATCTTAATGCATACATACAAATGAGTACTTTAAGATCACCCCACTGGGAAGGTATGCATATGCTTTAAGAGTATAGGTAGTTCAGTTACCTTTATAGATATTTTATAAAATGGGGACAGATATTCATGAGTTTTGAACATGTATGTGGGGGGGGGCATGCGTGCACACCCACACACAACCACACCCACACACCCAGTTTGATTATCCATCCTCAGCCACCAGATTTTGCTTTGAATCAATCATTCATTGGCTGGTCTCCAAAGTAAAATTCACTTTCACTGTATCTTCATTAACGATTCACTTTCTTGTCTTCATTAACGATTGTTTTTTTTAAAACTCAGAAGCTTTTCATTCAAATTTGAATGGTGGCAGCCTCACTGGAATGCTGTAAGGGATCATTAAGGAATGACCCAACTAAGTGAGGCAAGCCCCAGTTCCCCAGCTTTGAGTTCACAAAACAATTACCCCAGTTTTTTTTTCCTCTCTGACAAAAATGACAGTTTCTCTGAGACTGTTTCAAGTGCCAAACTTTTTTTTTTAAGATTCTATCTAGGTTTACAAGTGGATGGGGCTAGTTATTGGTAGAAGACTAGAGGAACTGTGGCTAGTTCCAACCTCTGCTCTTACCTGTGGGGGCCTGCATGGCTGAACTGGGGATGGTGGCAGCATCTTGGGGAACAGTGCTGGTATCCGGTTCAGGGGTGCTGGTTGTTGGTGAAGTGGGTGGTGGGCTCAGCAAAGTCCGAGGTTTCCTCTGTTAAAATGGATTGGGAAAAGTTTGCTACCCGTGAAAGGTAACTTCCCTTCATTCCTCTATTCCTATCACTCAGTACACCCATGAAACAAATGTATTTATGAATGGAACCACACTTCATCTTTCTATTCCATAACTGGCCCCAAAATTGTATATATTGAATGTACTTAGTAAGCATTATCTGAATTATATGTACATGATTTTGGTCTTCTGTAGAGAAAGAGCTTAATGAACTTTTATGCTAGATTCAGTATCATAAGAACTCCAAATCCTTTGTAAATTGGGCAGATAAAAGCAGAAAGTATGTGACAGGTTAATGTTATCATTTTGTTTCTTTCTTGAAATGGAAATGAACCTTCTGACTTTACCAACTGCTTTCCTCTGTCTTCCCCCTCTTTAGCTCATTACCTGCCATTCCTTCCCTTAATAACCTAACAGTCCCTAATCACACTAGGTCTCTAAAAACCATGCAATTTTATCTGGCTCACATCTTTACAATTTTAAGCTTTCTCTTCAACAAGAAATGTTCTCTCTTATTTATGTTCTAAATCACTGTGTATCTAGGACACTCTCTTAGTTTTCCTCTTAACTCCATACTTTGTCTGCATTCGTCCATGTACTATTATTACCTGCTTACACACTGATCTCCCTTATTAACCTAGAACTCCACGAGGGTCTGAGTATCAATCCTCACATGGCACTTGACACAAAATAAGTGTTAATAAATGTTTCTCATGAAGCATACAGTATAGATTACCAATAAAGGGGTGATTAAGAAGATCTGAGAGAAACCTATTATTTCTTTTATGCTGGAACTCAGGATGTTTCCAGAAACAGTCTCTAAAAGTCTTTCAGAATAAAAACCACCATTCCAAGACCCCAAAATCCTCTTTCCCAAAGTGCTTGTGTAAGGTGCACTGCTAGAAGCTGTACACATATGTTTGCCTTCTGGGAAACATAATCTATAGAGACCTGCTTACAGCAGTGACCATACATCAAATGGCTTCACCTGGGAAAGCCATCATGCAAAACCTTCCTTAGAAATGGATATATGAAGCCAGGCGTGGTGTGCACGTTTGTAATCCCAGCACTCAGGAGGCAGAGGCAGGCAGATCTCTGTGAGTTTAAGGCCAGCCTGGTCTACAAAGTGAGTCCAGGACAGCCAAGGCTACACAGAGAAACCCTGTCTTAAAAAAAAAGAAAGAAGGAAATGGATTTAGGAGCCAGGTGGTAGTGGTGCACACCTTTAATCCCAGCACTTGGGAGGCAGAAGCAGGTGGATCTCTGAGCTACAGGCCAGTCTGCTCTACAGAGGACTTCCAGGACAGCCAAGAACTTAGCACACCAAGAAACCCTGTCTTGAAAACAAAACAAACAAAAGAAATGGATACACACTCATATTATTAGATACTCCTGAAGGTAGAATTCCATGTAAGTAGTCAAGTCCGGAGAGAAGGGAAATAAATACTAGTTCAAGTTCAATGAGTTGGTGCTGTGACTTCAAGGGTCCCTCTGAGAGCAGGCTGGTAAGCTGAATACCCAGATGTTGTAGAAGAAAGCAGAATTATAGAAGGTATCATTTTCATTTTAGGTAAGTGTCATTACAGATGCATGCCTTAACTTAGTTCCATTTTACAGGGAAGAAGGGGGATCAGCACCTCAATGAAAGAAGCCATTCTGAAGTCACAAAGATAGCAATAACGGAGATGAGACCAAAGCCTAAATCTGTCTGGTTTCTAAGGCTTTTTGTTTCAGAAAGAAATGGCGTTATCATATGGATGCAAACACTTTTATTGAATTATGCAAAAAAACAAAAAGGCAGAATGAGGATCAGATGCTAGGACACACAAGACACAGGATACCATGAGAATGTTTACTTTAAAGAGGATGTAATGAGGATACTGTCTACTATGTTTTTGACTTTGTGAGGTGCAGGACACTGGAAATCATATCATAGGTCTCAGTTTTCAAAGGATCCTAATGGCCTTTTAATATAATCATCTTCCTGAAATAGCCCTCTTACAGAGCCACCTAGTCCCCAAGAAACCACAGGGGCTTACTACTATTTTGAGGTAGCTCCTTATATATTTCCTTATATATTTAAACAAAGCCCTTCTGCTTGAATTTCCACTTACTAGCTATTATTTTTTTCTTTGGAGTCTCTCAGACACATACATTCTGTCTTTTGATAACCCTCAAGAATTACCCACATAATCCAAACCATGCCTCTCTTGCCTTGGCATCCTTAGGACCTTCAGCCTCTCCTCCACAACATGAGAAAGAGAAGAATGTATTGAAGTAATAGTGTAAGAGAACGTAGCAGTAGCAGCAGCAGTAGCAGTAATGGTGTTAAGAGTATAATAGATACAAGTCAGGGCCAGGGTTAGGTGTTAGTGTCAAGGGATCAGAAAGAGCACTGTATGTTATATAGAAAGATTAAGCAATGGCATTGAGAGTTCAAGTCCAATCAAAAAAGAGAAAACTAAGAGCGGTAACATCATGACTAAAATCATCCATGTATCCACCCATCCATCCACTCATTCATCCATCAATCCACCCATCCAGCAATCTATCTATCTTCCATATTCAGAACATCTCCCAAGAGACTGAGATACAAGGCACTGTAGGAGGAAAAGAAGATAAGGATCAGGTGATTGGCCTTGAGGAGCTTATATTTTATAAGGACAAATAAATCAGTCAAATAAGCAACTGGGGAAATTTGGAACTACAGTGGAGGTCCAGAGAGAACATATACTCTTTCCATAGGGAGATTCAATTACTCAAATTCAGGAAGGAGGCTCTGAGAAGTCTTTGATCATTAGGAATCAAGTAGATGCTAACAGGGTCCATAGAGAAGCATTTTCACATCATTGCTTTGTCAGGGAAGATATCCATGACAGTGTGGAATGACTGGGGAGGTAGCACTTTCAGTAACTGGGCGTATGAAGATTGACTTGGTCTTTTCATACATTAGAGGAATTGTATGTCTCTTAGGTATAGAAGGGGTGTGTGTGTGTATAGTAGCGACCTTGGAACTAGATCTAGGAACTGATCAATGCATTCTAAAATAATTTCACATGTCTAAGTTTTAATTTACTCCATAATAAAATAATGCTAATAATATCTCCCAGAGCTTTGTGATGATCATTATATTGATGCAACAGCACCTACTATAGCCTGATGTTAAATGATTAAGTGAAGTTTTTTTTTTTTAAAGAAATGGTAGGAATAACAAGAGAAATAGATTTACAGAATTATTATACTGTTTACATGTTAGACATCTATTTTGTGAAGGTTAATCAAGGGCAGGACTGCTCATCTATGGAAAACATTGAACTGACCCCCTCAAAAAGCAAAATTTGTTTCCTATCTCTAACATCAGCAAACTCCAGATAAATGCTAAGTAGGAATGACAATCTAGGATTTCCCCTTAAAAACCACCCACGAGGTGGAGAAGCTGGCTGGCTAGATGTGCTCCTTTTCAAGATGAAATGTATGTATGGATGACTTGTTTCTTTGCTGTTCTGTACCTCTTTCTGGGAAACCTACATTTTTACCTACCTTACTTCCGGGCTTAGGACCTCTCTTCTTTGGAAATTTCAAAGATTCAGCTGACTTGGATGGGGTAGCAGTAGGATGGGGAATAAGGATCTTGGGTGTTCGGCCCCGCTTCTTTCCTGGTTTGCGCCCCCTCTGCCCTGGTTGATGCTCCAAGACAGTTTTGGTGCTGTGGATGCTGGGCTTCTCCGGGTTCACATCAGATGAAGGGGAAGGATTCTTTGGAATCACAACTGTAAGAAAAAGATTCATTCCATCATCCCTCCTCCTGCATTCCCTTCTGTCTTAGTTAGGGTTTCTACTACTGCAATGAAACAACATGACCATAAAGCAAGTTGGGGAGGAAGTGTATGAGCTTTACACTTCTTCCACATTGTAGTCCATCACTGAAGAGGGTCAGGACAGGAACTCAGGCAGAGCAGGAACCTGGAGGCAGGAGCTGACGCAGAGGCCATGGAGGAATGCTCCATACTGCCTTGCTCCCGATGGCTTGCTCAGCTCACTTTCTTATAGAACCCCAGACAACCAGCTCAGGGGGAGCCCCACCCACAATGGGCTGGGACCTACCTCATCAATAACTGCTTGGGGAAATGCCTTATAGCCGGAGCTTATGGAAGCATTTCTAAACTGAGGTTACCTCCTTTCAGATAACTCTAGCTTGTGTCAAGCTGACATAAGATCAGCCAGCAAACAATCCCAGACAGCAGGAAAAATACCTTGCATTTCTGTTTAAAGAGTTTGTCCAGGAACCTAGTTTCTTGGCATTTGACCCGAGTGCATAGAAAATTACAAAGTAAGTTGAATTTATTTTGGCTACAATTGAAAGTTAAAAAAAAAATTTTTTTAAGTAGATGCAAGAAAATATTTAAAAATTCCCTAAGTATCTAAGAGAAAGAAGCATTGCGACCCAAGTTCAAGGTGAAACGTGGTTAGAACCAGAGGCTCAGAACTGGGGCAGATCTCAGGAGTCTACAGCCTTCTTCTGATGAGAATAAAGATCTAGTAAAAGGAGAAGTGATGCCTCTCCTAGGTTACTCTGTGAGGCAAGAACTTTTGTTATCCAATGGCACCCTGATAGCTAAGGCTATATCAACAAATTTAAGGTCTATCTAGCATGTTTACTACAGTGAGGGCAGCAAAAGATGGACATAAAATTAATTTCTCCTTAACTTAAAATGTTTGCTCTTTATTAACGTTAAGGTAAAAATCTAAATTCTTTATCGTGATTCCTAAGAAGTATGGGCTTTAAGCCTCTGCCTTGCACTCTAGTTATGCCTGATGTCATACTGCGGCATCTACCTTTATATCCCACTTGCCCTATATGTTGAGCTCTTTATTGTTCGTGATTAGACCTGTATCAATACTTAGTTCTCAAAGTTTAAGATACGGCCATGTTCTTACTGAAGCCTTCCCTGACCAGGCCACCACTAAGTCAGCACTTCTAAGTATTCTGTGGACATCTGTGTTCCAGGACTCTTTAATTTCATGCCAATCATTCATCTCCTTAAATTGAGACTATTTAGAGATAAGGAATACCTAATTTATCATACAAATACTTATTGAGCACTCTCTAGGTTATATACTGTTCTGAGTCCTGGGGATGGAAGAGCGAACAAACAGAGGCTCCACTCATGGGAACATGTTAGTGTGTTTGAAGTTATGAAGTTAGTATAGCTGGGCAGGAGTCTGCAATGTGGAGAACTGGTTAGTGAAGAGGAGTGGGAAGACTGAGTAGATCAAGCTGGGTGCATAGCTCAGCTACTAAACTGCTTGCTGTGCAAGTACAAGGACTTAAGTCTAAACCAACCTAGACTCCATCTGAAAAAGCTCCGTGTGCTGGTGTGTGTGTAATCCTAGCTGTGCAGAGTCAGAGATAGGAAAGACACCTGGGGCTAATTGGCCACCCCGCCCAACCTACCTGGTAAAGTGGGCGAATGAGAGACTCCATCTCAAAAAACAGGGTGTACGTGGGGGCTACTAAGGGGATAGTGCAGTCAGCAAAATACTTGCTGTATGTGCATGCACATCCCAATTCATATTTCCAGCACTCACATACACCAACATAAATACAGAACACAAACACACTAAGTGCTTGAAACTACTATATCCCATCAAAATTTCCAAAATTAAAAGGATTAAAATCCCCCCCTAACAATGGTGAAGGATGTGAAGTAATTAGAATTCAACACTGTTGGACAGAACACAAATAATTTTGGAAAAGTATTTAGTTGTATACCTATGACCCAACAAAAGAAATGAACGATATGGACCCCGACAGGCATGTGCTAGGATATTTATCACACATTTTTTTTCATGAGGTAAATGCTGGAAACAACCCAAATGACAAACAGAAGGACAGATTTCTAAAGATGTAGTATATTCATAAACAGGAATATCACAAGAAGCACAAAAGAATTATTGCAAACTATTTTTATATGCAACAATATTATCTGAATCTCACAGAAATATGCTACATGAAAGAAGCCAAATAAATATTAATTAACAAAAAGCTAGAATATACAACTTGTGAAGTTTGAAAACAAACAAAAAAAGTAATCTAGACTGATAAGATGGCAGGGACTTTTGAGGGAACTGGATACTATGAGAGAGTCTTCTGGATGCTTAATATGAACTATATCAGGATAAAAGAAACAGAGAAGACAAAACAGAGTGGGGAAGGCTCAGTGTTTGCTGTATAAGCATGCACATCCCAATTCAGATTTCCAGCACTTACATAAAAGTGATATCCACTTGAATAGATGTAGCCAAAAATTAGCAAACAAACCACAAAAATATACTGAACACAGTCAATTAAAATCATATCTAATGAAAAAGAGGAGTTACACATGACACAATGTTATTAGCTGGAAAAGCTGGGAGAAAAATGATGCCTTTTACTAAGATGGAAAACACTAGAGAAAGAGATTTGGAATTGAGTTTCTAGACTTGTTTCTTATGAGCTGCCTATTAGATGCTAAAATACAGAAATGTTAATTAGGGAGTTTTATATCTGAGGCCAGAATCCAAAGGAGATACTGGATCTGAAGATAAAAATTTGAGAATCATCAGTGTGCTTACTGATATGTAAAACCATTAGACTAAATGAGATTTTGTTGGGTATGAATACATAATCAAGAAAAGAGAAAAAAAAGATAATTTCTAAGACACACTAATGTATATCAGTTAGAGAGAAGAGGATCTAGCAAAGGACACTAAAGAGTGGTCCCAAAGTTAATTCCAAAGCAATGAGGATGAAGTCCCAGGAAAGTGGGGAAGCAGCACCTCAACCTAGTAAGCTCCTATCACCCCACCTGGAACACAACCAGTGTCTTCTAATGTGATGGACTAAGAATATCACATATGCATCTGCATTGATAGTCTGCAGGGCAGAGCCTTTCAAAGGCCCTCTGTGTCAGGCTCCTATCTTGTTCCCTCTTTTCTCCATCCTCTTTGCCTTTCTGGATAGGAATTGAGCATTTCAGCAAGAGTCCTCCTTCTTGATTAGTTTCTTTAGGTGTACAGATTTTAGTAGGTTTATCCTATATTATATGTCTATATGAGTGAGTATATACTGTGTGCATCTTTCTGCTTCTGGGACAACTCACTCAGGATGATCTTTTCCAGATCCCACCATTGACCTGTAAATTTCATGATTTCCTTGTTTTTTATTGCTGAGTAATATTCCACTGTGTAGATGTACCACAATTTGTGCATCCATTCCTCCACTGAGGGGCATCTGGGCTGTTTCCGAACAGGGACTGTCTCTGACATGAACTGATTGGCCTGCTCTTTAATTACCTCCCCCTGAGGGGGAAGCAGCATTACCAGGCCACAGAAGAAGACAATGCAGCCACTCTTGATGAGACCTAATTGACTAGGGTCAGAAGGAAGGAAAAGAAGACCTCCCGTATCGGTGGACCTGGGGAGGGGCATGTGTGCATAGGGTGGAGGAAGGGAGGGATTGGGATGGGAGGAGGGATACGAGGGGATACAAAGTGAATAAAGTGTAATTAATAAAGAATAAAAAATATCACATATGCATCATCTCTGCTTCAAATCAATTATCTTGAGGGTCAGACACACCAAAACAGGCTCAGTTAAGAAAACAACTAGCCTTGTCAATGTTACAGAGAGGAAAATACAGGAACTACTCTATGCTCTGAAGGTGAAAGTGACATATAGTTAATGCAATGTATGGTTCGGTGCAGAGCCTGGGGGAATATATATTTTGAAAAGGGATATTAGCTCAATTACTATGACTTGTATACTGACTATGGTAACATCTGATGTCAAGTGTGGCTTTCTGAGTCACACTAGGGTAAAGCGTTATATGCATTACTGAATAAATCAGAGGATATATTTATCCTGCAATTTAGTATAATCACAGGTATAAACTCCAGGGTGGTTCTTGCTCATGTATATCAACATATGTGTAAAAATGCTCATAGTAGTGGTATTTTTCCCAACATAATATTTTCACTGATTATTTGGGAATTTCACATCATGTACCCCAATCACACTCACTTCTCAGTCCTCTCAGGTCTTCCCTCCCCACTGTGTGTCCCCCCTTCCCACAAGAAGAAAAGGAAGAGGAGGAGGAAGAAGAGGAGTTGTCATTAGATTTGTGTTGTTCACATACTCGCTGGAGCACAGTTAAACTCCCAGTAGCCACTGACCCATAAAGAAAATTGAGTCCTTCCCCACCCGCACCCCTGCCAGAAGCTATCAGTTATTGAGAGCTATACTTCAGCATCCTTATCACCTTTTTATTTTATTTTATTTTATTTTATTTTATTTTATTTTTTATATTAATCACAGGTCATTCCCTCTGTATCCCAGCTGTAGCCCCCTCCCTCTTTCCCTTCCAATCCCACCCTCCCTCCCTCATCTCTTCCCTGTCCCCTTCCAAGTCCACTGATAGGGGAGGCCCTCCTCCCTTTCCATCTGATATAACCTAGAAACCCTGCTCGGATGTAGCCCATGGTAGCTCAGTATGCAAGTGGGTTCCCTAGTAAGGGGAACAAGGATTATTTCTGACATGAACTCAATGACTGGCTCTTTGACCTCCTCCCAACCCTCGGGGGGTGGGGGGAGCAGCCTTGCTAGGCTACAGATTAGGACATTGCAGCCAGTCCTGAAGATACCGTATCACCTTTTTTAAGAGTTCTCTTCAATGGCTTTCCCTCTAGGCTGTTACTTTTTGGGGTGGTGGGGTAGATTGTATGGGTTGTCA